CATTCCTCTAGCTCACTCTTTTGTTTGTTTGTTTGTTTGTTTCTAGTTTCTTGGTGAAAAACCACCCCAGTTTTTGATTCAGGCGCCTACTATGTTCACAGCCTTGCAGTACATCTGAAGGACACCTGTGGTTATTTGCTGAATTTCATGATTAAACAGAGGGTCTGAGGAACAGCATTTAGAGACAAGGCTGTGATCACTTTTTACTGTAAAACAGCTTATTGCTTGGATGTTGCCTTTAGTCGCCCAGGGGATGTTCCCATACTTGAGAAAGCAGAGCGTTAGCTTCTAGACATTTTCAGAGACCAGGATCGGCATTGTGCTTGTGAAATATAAACTGGACGTATGAGCACAGGCAGGTTTAAAGGGTAAAAAGAGGCAACACCATTTGGCCCACCGCTGACAGTGCGTGACTCCAGCAGTGTGATGACGAGGGGTTCGGTTCTATGAGGTGGAGGCATGAAACAGGCTACGAGGCACGCCTTAGCCCTTGACTGCTCTGATTCAGGAGGCCAAAATCATCTTGTATTCTCTCTCTCTTCCGGGAGACGTTAGCGAGCGACTCCTTGAGGAAAGGCGAAACAATATACTCTGGTGGCGTTACAATACCAAGAGTCCATTTTTAGTGTTCCAAGAAAAACTAGCTGAGCGTTACCAATTCATACAGAACCTGAAAGTATTACCCGTCACTAGGAGATGAAGCTGTTTAGAGAAATAGGAGATGGATATGAGTCATTCTCAAGCTTCTGTTCAAGTCAGAGTTGGGGGACTAGTTAGCAGTGAAGTTGAGGAGAAATCAGACTAACGTGTCCAGTCAGCTGCGAGCTGACTCTTTGTGAACTTAGTGAAAGAGTCGGTGGATTTAGTGTAAGATGCAGAAGCCGATAGCACAGGAACCAGAACACGGTTTTGGGTCAGGGCTGACTCTTTAGAATAAGAAGGAATGTTTGCTCCTGCAATGTGGGAATCTTCAGTCAAGAAAATGAGGTTCTTACAGAATTAGGAGCGAGAGAAACCATCTTCAATTATTCTCATTGATTTCTTTTCTGCTTATGGTAACCACAAAGTTTCCACAGGGGACTGAGGATTGTTCAGCTAACAAAATGGGCTTTAGCTGGCGTTGTTGGAGAACTGGACTCAGTGGCTTTTGCTACTTTGCAGGATCAGGGGGGAGAGCCACTCAAATGACTTGGAAAATGCAAATGGACCACTCATGAGAAGCGGGGAGAAAATAACAGGAGACAATAGATTCATCCGTCGGATACGGCCATTAGTTCAGAGGAAAATACCTGGCTTGCAGTTAAGATGAGAGAAGTCTCACCTGAGTGTTGCATGTGGACACATGGCATCACAAGGGAGGGTTCTTTTTTTTTTTTTTTGTCGCAGAGAGATCTTCACTCTCTTGGCTGGATATACTCAGGCACTGAGACATAACTCCTGCACAGACTAACTCTGTCCACGTGCAGGTCTTTGCTTTCTTTAGTCAACAAGAGTGCTGCACACCTACCACGTACCAGCTGAAACAGACGCAGATGCAGGAAGTACCGTGAGCTTCCGTAGGTACCCTGTGAGAGGGAATCCCATGGAAGGTCAAGGATGTCTGTCTCACTGTTGAGAAGCTTTCGGGAAAGCTCCCTGAGAAAGGCAACATTCAGTCTGAGTCTTTAAAAACCGACTGACACGGCGTTCAGAAGGAAGAAATTCAAACTCTTTCCCTTGCACGGGAAAGATGTTGCCTCGGTGACGTGGGGGACGGTATTGTCTTTGGTTTGGCAAAGGTGCTGTCATTTGGGGCAAGTGTCCTTTAAATGGCCTATTGGAAGCCAAATTCTTTTTCTCCTGTGGTCCAGGCCAAAAGGGTATCCTTTGAATATAAATTTATGGGAATCCTAAATTGTTGCTAGTAATGTTAATTGCAAATCTATTTAAATTATGCATAGCTTTCAAAGAGAAAAAAATAGGCAAACACTGCATCATCTGTATTTTCTGTGACAGCTTTATTGCACTTTTGGATTCCCCATGTGCAGTCTTCATACCCAGGATGTGTTATGGCCATAATTCCTCCTCTATGAGGCTAACATGAAGACTGGAGGGCAAGGTCAAATTTAAATCACAATGGCTTTGTTGGTGGCACTATAATTTTGGCTTCTCTGTTATGGAATGCAGTTTGTCAAATATGTATTCACACACAGAATATACACAGTACTCATTCTTTGTCCCCCAAATACCACTTTTAGACTTGAAAATATTTTTAGGAACTTTTTGATAATGACAAGGAATTGGGGACAAATTAATTTTACCGTAACAAGAGGCTCATAATCAAAAAGTATGACGAATACGTACAGTAGAGCTCTCCGTAGCTGTTATAGTCTGGGATGCAGAGCTGCATTGATTTGACATAGAAAAATCTCCATAACTTTATGCCAAATGTCAATGAAAAAAGCAGATTGCAAAACAGCATGTAGAGAAAAACATGAAGGTAAAATTTTGATCACATGTATACGTTACATCTGTATTTCTACAGACACGTTAAAAAGTACTCAGCAGAGTGTTGAGCAAATTATTAGAGCAGGTGTCTCTAGACAGTAGAATGTCGGGTGGTTTTGCCATTCATTTTAGACTTCTCTGGGTTTTTATGGGAATTCTTTCAATAAATATGTATTTTTTTGCAAGAACAATTATTTTCAAAAGAAAAATTTCTTGAAATGTAGTTTATGAACTACTTACCCAAAGGCATAGTCTTTGACGAGCACATAACCCCGAAGAAAAACCCTTTGGTGACGTCACAGTTGTCACGTAGAAGTGCAGCCAAGGGGCGCAGTGCCGATGGGAACTGGATTCAGTGCTCGCCGAGTGTCGTCTCTCTGAGGTTCCCTGCTCTTCTGCGGCCTTGGCCTGAAACACCTCTCCGAGGCCCCAGCCTCCCCTCCCGCTGTGTGCCACCCAGCCTGCCCCTGAGGAAGGGTGGGCCCGAGGGACAGCCTGCAGATCCCGGCCGGGTACTGGGTTTTTGGACGGTGGGAATCTCCAAGTCTCCGTGCTTTATGAAGCACAGAGCTCGTCCCAGAGCCCCACAGAAAACCAGTTCAAAGCGTGTTATTGGACGCGAGACACCCACGTCAGCCAGATTGCCACCTTTTGGTCCTCCGTACAGGTTGCCCATTTTTATCCCCAAAGTCCAGGATGGAGAGGACTGCCAGGAGAAGTGGCTGGCGAGCTGGAGTCGGGTCTCAGCTTGGCCTGAGTCTTTCTCTGCATCTGTTCAAAAAAGGGACTGAAGAGAGTTTTAATTTTTAAAGTTTTAATTTTATTTTTTATTCAACATTCATTTTACTTAAAAGATTTATTTAAAACCTTTTATTTAAAAAACTAAAATTTTAAAGCTGTATATTAGCGCTTGCATAAGCTTTCTAACTTACACGCCCGCGTTCAACAGTGATTCAGGTGCCAGCCACCCAGCAACACTGCGCTTGGAGCTAGGGATTCAGAGTGAAGGAACAGACTAACCCTTGCCCTTGAGGGAATTAAATTCCAGTGTGTGTGTGGCGGTGGGGTCGGGGACACAAGGAAACAGCAGCTAAGTGTCTGAGCTGGGAGGGGGACACTGCTGTTTACACAGGGTGGTGGAAACTTTCTTGATGAGGGACATTAAAGGGCTGGTGAATAAAGGGGAAGGGTTCTCACAGAGAAATGGGTCATGAGCGAACCTATTATTTCAAGTGGTTCTTCAGCCAGATGTGCAATCTATTTGGATTCTATGCGTTACAGCCAATCTCTCACACTTTCAGTCTTGTAAGACCAATTTACTTGTTCATTCATTCATTCACTAATGAAAAAAAAAAGAGTTCTATGACACCCCGTAGTTTGTCTTACAGTCTGGAGATATGAAGATGAAGAAGACACAGTGCTGACCTGCAGGTAGCTCAGAGTTCAGCAGGAGAGGAGGAGAGAAGCAGATATTTACACAACAGTGTGTGATGCACAGTGATGGAAGCCCACGGGGGGAGCCAGGGAGGAGACAGCCAGCCCAGGCTGGCGTGAAGGGCAGTTCAGGAAGGATTCCTGGCGGCTAAAACTTCTGAGATGTGCCTCAAAGCTTGAGGAGGAGGGGTAAGTCAGTTCTGAGGAGCAGGAGGGTGGCCGGGCATTTCCATCAGGGGTGATCCCAGGACGGGAGTAGGGATGTGAGAAATAGCACCAGATGCTTGAGAAAACAACAGAGCTCCCTGCTAGAGGAGTGGAGAGGACTGTGGCCATGGGGAGGGCCATGGAGGCCAGGGCAGACCACGGCCCGCAGCCCAGCGGCCTCCTGAGCACAAAGTCACTTCAGACACAATTCCGCCGATGCCCCGGCGTTGCTGGTCCTATGCAAGGGGAGGAACTCTGCTCTTAGCTGACTCTCTTACTGAGTGTTCAAGTCATTTCTGCATTCAGACAAGCCTGTGGATGCTTCTAGGCGGGGGAGTAAATCTTAAATCACACAGTTGTTTTGTGTTTAGGCAATAAACATTTATAATGCCAGGACAGAATAGCTGCTCCCCCCGATTGTCCAAATAGCTGTCATGTGGGAGGGAATTCTCCTTGGCCAACAAGTCAAAAAAATTTTTTACCCTTTTGCTTTTTCTGAAAGGGTTTACGTCTACAGCAGCTGTTCTGTGTCACGATCTACAAGTGGAAACAGGGCGGGTTCTTTTTTTCTTTCTCCAAAAAGTAATGAAGCAGTCATCCATTTCTGCCCCAGAGTTATTTCCTGAGATGAGCGCCCTGGAGAGCTCTGGCGACTCCCTCTTCCCAGCTTCCTCCCTGGGCAAAGGGCTTTTCCCCAAGGGAAGCGTCAGTCACAGCTCACAAAGCTTCTTGAATCCAGCCCAGCTCAGGATGCGCCTGTAGGGCCGCAGATTTCCTCGCTCACTCTGTCCAGAGAGAAAACACATTTTCCCCGAACCCGTTCCCCAGCTGCGGGGACGGCTGCTGTGGGGAGGGGCGCTGCCCTTGGTGCCTCTGAGCTGAGCTCCAGGACCAGGCTGCCCATTCCAAAAGTGCTTTCTTTCACAGATATACAAGTCAAACAGGAATTCAGAAGGGTCCAGGTCTCCTGCTGCTGGTGGGAGGCTCGGGACGTCCATGGGGACAGGTGGTCTCACCTCGTCCTGGGCGACCTTCCGCAGTGTTCTACTCCCCAGACCTCGGCAGAACTGACTGCTGATTGCCCCCCATGCTGTTGGCAAACTCATCACGTGATGTTATAGTTACACGGGAGCCTGTCTTCTCCCACTGCCTGAAGATGCAGACTGTCTCTCTCCGCTTTGTCCTGAGTCTGACAGGAAGTGAAGTCCATGTGGCCCGGGGTGTTGGTTAACCTGTGTGTCTCCAGCCCCCAGAATGGTGCCTGCACCAGAGCAGGCTCCCAGTAATTACGGCCTGAATGAATAACAAGGTCCTGGCAAAGGAGGCCATCAGTGTGCTTGTTGAATAAATGATTGAGGTCTGTGATGACTCAGGGGTCCTGAGGGCTTTTTGGAGGAAATTAGGGGGCTGGCTGACTCTCGCAAAGCTGCGCTTCCCACACCTGGACAATTCCCAAAGGGCTGGGTGGCCCTGCGGGGCCCTGGAGGGGGTGAGCAACTTTTCCCTGAGGAATCTGCTCCTGGTCGGGCCATTCTCACTGTGACACAATCAATGCCGTCAGTGTTTAGGTCTCACCTCTGAAGCAGGGGTGTGTGGGTCGATGATGATTCACGAGGACTTTAAAACTTTAAAAATCAGAAAGGCTTCTGTAGGAGGGAGCCTGGCGCCCACGGCCGTGATCTGCACAGCATCTGGGCCGTGTCCAGGCTGACCTGCTGTAGGCACCCTTTTCTTGCTCAGTGCCCGGTGCCCAGTGCACAGTCTGATGCATTTTTCAGAAACAAACACTGAATAGGTGACCACGGCTAGGGTCACCCTTGGACTAGGGTCCTCTGGCCTCTTCCCGCTCTTCAGCTCTGCCCCCGGGGAGGTCTTCCTGGGGTCCTTTTCCAACGATGGGGAGCAATTTCCTGAAAAACTAGAGAAGAAAATCTTCATTAACAGAGCCTAGTTACTTTACGCTTTTAAAATTCATGTTATTTTGGCTGCATTTTACTTTGGGAAGAAAAGACGTCATAAAAAGGTAACTTAGTTAAAAACCATAAGCTCGTTTCTGGGCGAGGTTAGTCTTCAAGAGATCTTTAACTTGCTTCTCTCACCTGTGTGATCTTAATTGCTCTGTGACGGTAGCCCTCAGTCAGGATCATTTTATATTGTGGAATTTGTTTAACTATGTCGTTTAAATACCTTTCATATGAAAGAAGCCATGCTCATTGGCGGTCAGGCTGTGCCAAGAAGGTGAATGAAGTTACAGATTGAACATAAGACAAATAATATTCTTCATAGTTCTTGAATTGGGGTGGGGGGTCTTAATTGTTGGCAAAAATATAGGGGAAGGACAGACAGATACAGACTGGAAAGTGGTTGAATTGAAATGAAAATGTCACTCCCTAACAGTAGACGTTTGGCCTCTGAGTGAGAGATACACGTAGGAATTCAACCCTCTGCATCCTTCAAGGAAGACTTTTTTCAGTGTGTAACTGCACAATATTGAATTTATGAAAATGTGTGAACTCTTGTACCTTAGAGAGCATTTGGATCAACAGGCATGTCTGATATAGAAATGATTTTCCTGATGACCGGCAGCTCGCTGGAAAATCCTTTCAGCCAGAATATTCCTTAAGTATTGTGGTCACTCAGACTTTGAATGGAAATACTAGCTCTCAACAAGTCATTTAAGAGCTCATCTCCTTTTATCAAGATAAAAAAAAGTTCGCCTCCCCCCCCCACCTCCCCGCCGCCCTGCCTCTCCAGGGCTTCTGTCTGTGTCTCTGTGTCTCTGTGTCTCAGGGTCCTGGGGGACATGCCTCCTTGGGAGAGGCTTTCCGCCCTCTTCTCTCCAGTCCTTTCTCTGCTCGTTGCTTCGTCAGTTAACGCCTGCCACACTGCGCAGTGAGGGCCTGCTCCCTGCCCGGCCCGGCTGGGACACAGGGGGGGTGATATATGGATGGATGGGAAAGTCACTAAAAGACACACGAGACCCGTTCCTGCCCAGAAGCCCCATAAAGGGTCCTTTTGTGGACTCTGACTGCTGGTTGTCACGGCACGCGCCACCATCCACACTACTTCGAACTCAAGGGACTGGCTCGGCCTGGGGGCTGCCTTCCTCTCTGTGTGCCGGAGGCTGGCCACTTGGTTTTTCTAAGTTTTAATGTCCTCTTTAACGCAAAGAGGTGAGCTCCATGTCCCTAAGGAGGCCCGATCTGAGCCCGCCTTTGCTTCCCAGTCCACGCACGGGGCGCGCCCAGCGGCTCAGCGAACGTTGTCTCCCGCGCAGGTGCTGAGGGCGCGATGAGCTACTTTCTGGATTCTGCTGTGAGCGGCCCTGCCCCTTGCTCAGCGGGGAGACCTGCGGTGCTGGTAAGTGGGACGCCCCCTTCCCCACCCTCCTCCTCACCCCTCCTCCGCCCTGTACCTGCTTTCTGATCTCTCCTAGGCAGAGGAAGCCAGGGACCCAACCCCACCGCCGGAGTCAGCTTTGAATCTTTTGGAGGGGCTACGCTGTGAGATTATCTGTCTTTTTATCACTATATAAAGTAAAAAAAAAAAATCCAGGACTGATGGATTTGCTGAGAAAGATTTTTTAGTACCTTTGTGCTGTAGAGACTATGACTCAAACATGAGTAACGGTTAAAGCCAGGTGATTTTTCACAGTTCAGTTCATTTGGTGAAGATTTTTCACATGCTGAGGTACCTCGGGTCTATTCTCAGCATAATTTAACTTTCTCATACACAAAAGCTAAAAAACACAAGATTTCTCATCACAGAATCTGAAACTGGAAATAAAATGTGACAAGTTGTTTGGAAAAGTTCCTGAATCTTAGAATAAGAGAGGCAAAATGAACTTGAAAATAGGGCTAGATAAATTTTCTTGCTCCTAGAGGAGAAGGCTCTCAGCCAAGCTCTGTGCTGATCAGTAGAAATATTTAGCCGAATATCTTATAAATTTACTGTGTGAAACATCCCATAATGCTATCACTGATCAATTCTTTTAATATTAGCCGATGAATCAGTGACTACTGATTCTATATGCTGTATGTTTTTCTATAAAAACAGCCATCATACACGTTGGGCTCTTTTTACTCACCCTGGAAATGGTCAGATAAGATTATTGTTAACCCCTCCAAGTACATTTATGTGTCCAAATAGACACCAGTCGACCAGAGCTCTTTTCTGACGCAGGGTTTGTCCAGTCTGTGGTTCTGCGGAATTCTTAACACGGGTACCCTTCAGTCTGCCGTGACCTCACACTGTAATTGTGTATCAAAAGATCTGATGTGTTTGAAAATTATTTTCTGTCATATTGAAAAAATAATTATTTAAAAAGCCACCTTACATTCCAGGGCTGATGAACACACTGCTCTTCACTGGCTGTCCTGTGACACATATTTCTTCTTTTTCAAGTGGCTTCTGTTTTCATATAAACACTATTCACTGCATTTAAAAAAATTAGAAAACATTTAGATTACAATTTACATCAAAATATGTTTATCTCTCACACACACACACAAGCCCAGATAAAGAGTCACTCTGTTCTCCTTTGCAGGAACTGCCAAGAGACTTCACTTTAAGGTCCACTGGGCCAGAAACGTTGCCAGGGAAAGGGTCCTTCTGCTTCTCGCATAGGGGTTAGCCTCTAAGGTCAGCGTAAATTATAGCACATTTTTCTTAAAGGTCATATTGTAACGATTTCTTAAAATAAATAAGGATATTGTGATTTCAGGGCAAAACGTGTCATTGACTTGGCAAAGTAGATTTCAAAGCCAGCCCATGTTCATTCTCTGTGCCAGTATTGTAATCAAATTAAACAAAATTAATAGCTTGTCTAAAAAAGCAATGCCGTAAAAATTTATATTTTATTTATTTTAGGCACCGAAATACATTTTATTACAAGTATACAAGTTGCAGGTATAATATTAAGTTGTTCTAGATGAGGCATCTGGAAATTGTGTGAGATTAAGGAAACTAAAGAACAGCTCTAAGTATGTGTTTTCAACTCAAAGACCCCACCCTCAACTGAATGCATGGGATATTTTTTAATGCATTTTGAATGGTTTCCCCTGGTTTCAAAACAAAGAACCAGTTCACCCCACCCACAGCGGCCAGAGCTGAAAAATATTGTCAACATTTTGGGTCTTTATCACTGTGATGTTTCAGAGCTGCTTGGATAAAAGCAGAAGGTGCACAGGAGCACTGCTAAGTTACTGTTCCAGCACTTTCGTTCATAACGTCTCTCTGGGCCTCAGTTTCTCTGTCCCTGGAACTGGTTAGATAAACTTTCAGAACCACAGAGCAAGCAGAAACGTCTTTTGACTGCTTCTTCTTCTTTAATTCAAGTAAATAGAAACATAAGATTGATGAGGACAAACTCAAGTTCAATGAAACAGCCCCTAGAGACAACCTCCAGCTTGAAGCTGGGCTGTAATAAACGGTCAAAGAATTTGTAAATTGTCTACAGACGATAACCTTGGGGTATCGGTGCGCGAGAAACTAGCAAACCTCACACTCTCCATCCCGATCTAAGATTCCACGGAGGAGCGAGCGCAGCTTCCTTAACTAACCCAGGCACCTGGATCTTCTCGGCTCCCTGGGAGCCTCCCAGCCTAGGGCTCAGCCAGTGGTGCTTCACGCAGCAGTCCAAGTCCTCCTGCCTGGTGCCCTGGTCTCAGAGTTACGTAGCCTGGGCCACCAGCTAAGTGGCACTACCCCAGGTACGGGAAGTTTGAGGGTGAGAGGAAAAACTGTAAGAACAGTGGGTTTTTTAATCCCAGGGTGATCTCGCCCCCAGGGGACATCTGGTGATATGTTTGGTTGCCAAAACGTGGGGAGTGGGGATGCTACACCCAGAAGGTAGGAACCAGGGATGCAGCTAAGCACCCTGTACGACACAAGGATTGTCCAGCCTCAGAAGTTAGCAGCGCCCAGGCTGAGAAGCCCTGCCCTGGAACAGCCGCCAGAGCAGGTCCGAAGGCGGAGAGGTACTATGTGTACAGACTGGTCTAAGCTGTTCTTTGTTACATGTAAATGACCTCTTTTAGGAAGTCTTAAAAAAAGGAAAACAAAGTGAGGCCGTATTCCTGTTGCGAGGGGTTCTGCTGAGCAGGCTGCTTTCGTTGTCCAGGAAATAATCTTCTAAATCAGGAGACAAATGTTTTCTAGGCCCTGAAGACTGCTGAGTCTCAGATTCCTTATTTGTGGTTCGAGGTGGTGTCGGCGTGATCCGATGGTTGGCTGTACCAGGGGAGGCTGACAGTACTCACAGCGACAGTTGTAAAATTCCTCCCACCCACGGGAGCCGGGGAGGGGGGTGACCATTTTCCACAGAACTCACATTATCTGCCCCAGGGTCCCTTTGTCAAAAACAGAACATGTGCCCTCCCCGTTGGAAGGCCAGCCTCTCAGGGGACCACCGCGAGCAAAGTGATGTCACGGCAGCTGGGGAGGCGCGGGAGCTGCCCGGCGCTGCGTGGGAGGGGGCGGCGTCTGCAGGTGCCGGTATGGGTTGTGTGTCGGGCACCCTTTCGTCCAAGGGGAGGAAGCGCTCCTTCCTGTTGTGGCACCTCAGCAAGCCCGCTTCGAGGCCTGGAAGTTCCTGGCGGCCCTGACCCTCTCCTACGTCATCCCCTGCTGCATGTCCCCGGCCCGCTGGGCTGGGGGAGGGCAGGCATGGGGCGGATGCGCCACTCCTAGTTTTGACCGAACATGTCCTGGTCCTTGGCTACCTCGCAGACAAGGAAGATGTGGAGGAGGTCCTTGGGGATGGAGGGACCCTGGGCCAGGCTTGGAAAGCACCCTGAGCCGTGGGAAGGAACAGCATGACTGCCCACTCGCCTCCTCTCAGAGCTCAGGCCTGTGGGGATGCAGCGATAAGCCAGGCAAGAGTGCCTGCCCGGACAGGCACATGTGGGAGGCACCCAGTCTTTGGTCCTGGGCCTGGTGGCTGTGGGACAGAGTCCTGTCAATCACCATGACAGCACTGAGGCTTTGGAATCAGAAAGACCTGAATTAAATTCTGGTCTGTTACTCCTCTGCCATGTGAGCTTGGGCAAACTCCATCCTCTGACCCTCAATGTCCTCATCTGTAAAATGGGCAGTGTAACCTACTGTATAAGGTCACTGTGAGGCCAGCCACAAACCTCAGTTAACCCCCTTTCCCCCGTGTTTACCATCTCAGCTCTGTTTTTTTCTGGACGTTTCAGTTGTGTGGGATGCACACATGGAGGAAGGCGTGGAGAGGATTCCACTGATTGTCCCCACAAGGGTGTGGCCAGAACAAGATGGCGCTACTGGGGGAAAGATGGAGACATTCTTATTGAGAAACCTCATTGCTTCATTACTACCCTGCACTAGAAATAGCGCCCCTGCCACCCGATCAAGGTTCTCTTGTGGGTGGTTTACAGCCCCATTGTGTAAACAGACCTGGTTCTCTTATCTTGAGTAATTGCAGTTTAATTGGGCTTCCTTGGGAGGCAATCCCCTTCTTACCCAGTGCTGTTCGTGCTCTCCACCTCCGCCCAACATGCCTTAGGATGTGGTCGCTGGGGCGTCTGCTCTGTCCCTGCACTTGGGAATCGGGAAAGGCTTGTGCTTGTTTCTAGGAAGCTCAGCACACGTGCCTCTTCCTTCTGTCTGGGAATCCTGGGAAGCAGTGGGTAAAGTCCTCAGTGCTAGAGAAGTAAGCATATCCCCAAGGAAATTTAGAATGTAAATGGAAACTGGAAAAGAAATGTTTTTTTCTTGTTGCTTGCGGTGGTGATGGCTTTGCTCCTGGAGAGATTGCTGGAACATAAGGCTTAAGAAATGATTTACAGCCAAAACTCTTAGTGGTAGTCAGAAAAAGTGAAGGAAAAAAGAGAGATAACGTCTATTTTCTAGCATCTTAGAAAGTGGGGATTTTCTAAAATACTGGCTCCAGTCAGCACGAACTAGAGGATTTCAGAGCCAGACCATAACCTAGAGACCATCTCCCAGCATCAGGAAATTCAGGTGCTAAGAGGTTAAATGAGTTGCCCAAGTTTACAAGCTGGCAAGGGGTGAAGAGTGGTCCAGATCTCCTGGCTCCTGGCTTAGGGCATGCCTTGCCATCAAATGCGTCTTGATCATTATTTTTAAAATTTATTTGTTTATTTTAGTTGAAGTATGGTCAGTTTACAATGTTGTACCAATCTGGTGTACAGCATAATGTTTCAATCATACACATACATACATATATTTGTTTTCTTACTCTTTTTCATTATCAGTTACTACAAGATATTGAATATAGTTCCCTGTGCTATACAGCATAAACTTGTTGTTTATCTGTTTTATATACAGTAGTTAGAATCTGCAAATCTCAAACTCCCAATTTATCCTTTCCCACCCTCTTCCCTCCCTGGAAACCATAAGTTTGTTTTCTATGTCTGTGAGTCTTTTTCTGTTTTGTAAATAAGTTCATTTGTGTCTTTTTTTTTTTTAGATTATACATATGAGTGAAATCATATGGTATTTTTCTTTCTCTTTTTGGCTTACTTCACTTAGAATGATGATCTCCAGGTGCATCCATGTTGCTGCAAGTGGCATTATTTCATTCTTTTTTATGGCTGAATAGTATTCCATTGTATAAATACACCTCAGCTTCTTTATCCAGTCATCTGTCAATAGACATTTAGGCTGTTTCTATGTCTTGGCTATTGCGAATAGTGCTGCTATGAATATTGGGGTGCATGTGTCTTTTAAAATTCGAGTTCTCTTCAGATATATGCCCAGGAGAGGGATTACTGGATCATATGGTAAATCTATTTTTAGTTTTTTAAGGCATCCTGATCATTTTTAAGAAATGTCATGATAGACAGGACTTTATGACAATCCATGCATCCGTGTGTTTTATTTATGGTGAATTGACCTTCTCTGGCTTAGAGGAAAAAAACCAGAGCTCCATTTTGTAGACTGCTGAGCAGATCGGAATTCTTGACCAGTGTTTTCACCACGGGAGGTCCTCCCAACCTCCTGTCAGGAGGCCCTGAGTCAGCCTCACGCCCCATCTCCACACCCCGGGATGGATGCCCGAAGCCGGCGCCCATGGGGTGGCTGGGAGTCCGCAGGCTTCCTGCAGCTGATGGATAACACGTATCTCACCCGGAATCTCTCAGCAGGAGTGTCAGGGCCAGGCGCCCAGGACTGGGGCAGGTCCACTGAGTAAGCTCTTGAGTGGAGGGGTCTGTGGTCTCAGGCTGGTGTGAGGATCTGCAGGGTCTGTCACCCCCCTTCCCCAACCTGGTCTGCTGCCTGAGGGCCAGGGCATCCCTGGGCAGCCTCTGCTGTGGTCCGCGTGGCCGGGCTGGAGACCAAGCACCGCTTTTCACGGAGAGCAGAATCCGATCTTCCCGCCTCCGCTCTCTGTACTTCAAACTTTTTTCTCTCTCTCTGAAACCTGCAGCGGTCAGGCCTGCCCTTTCGCCAAGGCCCAAGCCCATCAGTCTTATTGTTTTAGAAAGAATTTCCTGGCCTTGAGTCTAAAATTAAACTGCCCTCTGAGAGCTTCCTATTTTGTCTGTTCCTGCCTCTCCGGTGGCTGCACCCCCTCCCCATCTCTTGGGGTGGGAGCACTGGGGACAGTGGAGGGGGTTCTGCCCCTCAAGGGGACAGGATGCACGTGCCCTTCTCAGGGTTCTAGAACTGATTGCCCCCAAACTTCTCCTCAGCGTTGCCAAAAGCATCTCTTGGTGATGCGTCGGACTGTGAGTGTGGGGCTGCTGGCCGGTCTAGCGTTTTCTCAGGAGGAGGAAGCCCAGACTTAACTGGAGGTCTGCAGAGCTGGTCAGGCAGCGCGGAAGATCAACTGCACGCAACGAGGTGCAAGGTTTGACGATGAGAAATTCCTTGTCCACTGCACAGACTTGCCTTGAGCAGGGGTCGTGTGCGAGCCCCGGCCAGTGCAGCACCCTGGCACTTCCAAACTTCACTGTTCTTGACTGAGAGAGGGACAATGCAGTGGCAGAACGATGGGTGACCAGGGTGTTAGAGAAGAATGAAGACAAACAGTGTGACGGCTTGAATACATTTCCAGGGACCCTCCCCAGCGTGAGTCTAAGTCACGACCACGACAGCCTCTTGTCTCTTCGGGCCTCTCCACGCTGGGGGGTTATTTACCAAATGAAAGTTGTCAGTCACAAGGTCAGGAGAAGGAATGTGGACGGCTCAGCAAAAAGGAGACTTGCAATTGGAAAGGAACTTGGAGATCACTGGGGCCGACCTCCTCAGGAAGCAGAGGCTTGAGGAGGTTAAGAGACAGGCCGGAGGCCGTGCGGCTCCTGAGGGCCAGAGCAGGGCCTGAGCAGGCTTCCTGGCTTCCAGCCTCCCGCCCTCCCCCTGGGGCCTCGGGACATCTAGGCCGCTCCTGGAATGTCCTCCCTGCGGGTGGCGAGCCCCTGTGCTCATCCGGCCGGTGCTAGCTCAGCTCTGCCTCTGGGTGAACGCTTTGAACAGCAACATCTAGAAATACATATTGTGTCTTGTCTGTTTACGGCCCTGCGCTGGGGCTACACCAGGGGATTCTGAGGTGGGTTCAAGAAAAGGTAGATTGACTCCCCTGGAGTCTGCGCTCTGAGGAACTCGTACCCGAGGAGGGTAAGGATGGGGGCTGAGAAGCAAACACCTGGACACCGACGGCTGCTCGGCTCCAGACAGAAGTGCAGCGTTCATGTCCTCGCGGACACGCAGATGCCATCTGTTCGTGTTGAAAAAGTACTCCCCTGTCCCCGCTTTGCCGATGGTGGGGGTCTCCGGGGGCACGGGGAGGAGGGCTCCGAGGTTCGGCAGGGCTGGGGGCAGGTGAGCGAGCACAGGGAGAGAGCCGCGTGGCGGTGGGGGAGGGAAGACAGGTCCCCGACGGAAGCTTCCAGAGGCAAAGTCCGGTAGACATAACACAGGAGATGGGGCTCTGACTGGAGGAGGGTGGCAGTGGCCTCAGAGCAGAGCTGGCTCCCCATGGGGCAGGGACAAGTGTGTGTCCATCTCCCTGGTGGTTTCCAGGCTTCAGCGCATCAAGCTGCTTCCTTCTAGGATGAGAAAGACAAAGCCTTTAGGCGGTGGGCTCGTGTCCGCTGACAGCCTCCCAGCGGACAGGGGGTGGCAGAGCCGGGCAAGGGGGCCTGCTCGCCCGAGGTGCCCAGGGACCCAGGCCCTCCAAGGCCGCCCAGACACCGCCCTTTCCTCGGCAGCCACTTGCTGCCCAGCCCGCTTCTGAACTCTGCCCTTGGCGTGCAGGGCACCCGACAAGCTCGTGTGTTCCCTCCTGTGTCTTCAACCAGCCGGTCTGTCTTTTTTCCCCTCAGGTCTCCTCCCAGCTCCGGGCAACTTTACAGACCCGTTTTTTTTTTTCCCCAAAATTCAAGTATAAGTGACTTCCAATATCATGTTACTTTCAAATGAACATAGTGGTTCGATATTTTCAGCCATTATAAGAAGATTCCCACAGTAAGTCTTGGAACCTTCTGTCCCCATACAAAGTTACCACGGTTTAACTGACCATGTCCCCATGCTGTGCATCACATCTGCGTGACTCACTTACTTTATAACTGCTCTTAATCCCCTTCATTGATTTCACTCATGCCCCCTGCTCCCCTCCCCTCTGGTAAACACCAGTTTGTTCTCTGTTTTATTTGTGAGTCTGTTTCTGTTTTGTTATGCTTGTTCCTTTGTTTTGTTTCTTAGATTTCACATAGAAGTGGAATCACACAGCATTTGTGTTTGTCTGCCTTATTTCACTTGGCATAATACTCTCTAGGCCCATCCATGTTGTTGCAAGTGGCAGGATTCTGTTCTTTTTTACGGCTGAGTAATATTCCTGTGTGTGTGTTCCTCATCTTTATCCATTCATCCATCAGTGGACACTTAGGCTGCTTTTATATCAAGATTATTGTAAAGAATGCTGTAGGGAACACTGGGGTGCATCTATCTTTTTGAATTAGTGTTTTCCTTTTTTTTTTCGGTCAGTACCCAGAAATGGAATTGCTGGATGGTGTAGCAGAGCTGTTTCTGATCCTCTTTTCATTTTTACTGCCATTTTTCCAGACTCTATACTTTAACTAGACCTTTATGCTTCTAGATCTAACTTTATCCTTTCCTGTCTTCTCCCATCCTACAGCCACCTTAGGGGCCCCTCCACCGAGTTGCTCTGCCATCACTCTAACAGAACACAACCAAAAGTGAAATTTTCTTCCACCCTCCTTATTTATGGACTTAAATTCACCATTTTTACCATTATTAAAGCCATCCATCTCAGCATTACTTGGATCCCCCCTACTTTCTTTCATCTCCCATCAGTTATAAAATCATGTTGACTCTTCCTTTGACACGCATCTTATATTTCTTGTTTCCTCTTCACCTCTACACTCATAACCCAAATCAACTCTTTCTTCCTAACCGGACCACAGCTCAGCCCCGTAACTGAGGTGAAGGGCCCATCTGGGGGCAAAGTCTAAGGGCTGTCCCCCAACTCAGGACTCAAGCTGAACTCATCTTAAATGCAATATTTCTGAAAATCAAAATTAATGCAAAAATTCTTCTAAGAAATAAAAATCTTAAAGACTGGATCAGGAGTACCGACTTTTTTGCCCTTCTGCCTCAGGCTCCAGTATGGCCCCAGGGCACTGCTCCTGCCTGTGCCGGCCTCCCCGCCATCTGCTGCCACCCATCCTGGCCTCCTTAGCGCTTTCCAACGACTCTTTCTAGAACACCTTGATTCTCCACGTCACTGCCTCTAGTACCACTGCGAATGCCTTTCTTCTGAAGGCAAGTTCTGGCCTGGTATTCATGGCCCTCCACGCTGTGAACTTACTCTGTTCCTCCAGCTTTGATTCTTACTAATGGCCTCCACCGCCAGCTTTCTCACCGCCGAAGAGCACGCCTTTCCCTCCTGCTCGTCCCCACCAAGCAGCAGAGTCTGTCTCTAGACCGCCCGGCTCAGCCTGTCTTAGTTTCCCTTACACAGCCGTGCAAGCTCCTTCCCCCGTTTCGGTAAGTCTCCTTTTGCTCTCTAGAGTCTTCAGCTGTTCTAGGCTGAATCTCCCTTGACTTTTCAGTTCTCACCTTAATTAATCTGCTTCCTCTAGGAAGTCTTACCTGCTGCCGCCCTCCTCCCCCGTACACACCAGCACTTAGCCCTGTCACATCCCCCGGCTGTAATATCCTGTTTACTAGTCTGTGTGCTCCTCAGGGTAAAGTTCATTTCTTGCTCATATTGTATTCTTAGCGTCGAACATCATACTTGGCAGAGACTCGTTGCATGATATAGATTTGCTCCATGAATGTCCCTTGTCATAATTCATCTAGTACCTCCTTCCTGAGCAGCTGGGATTAGAGACACACAAGATCTCTGTTGCACAGGTCGAGGAAAAGTGTCTGAAATCGAGGAGACCTCGTTTAAAATTCTCTCTCTGTTATTTATTAGCTGCGTGGACTTGGGAAAGTTACTTGCCCTCTTAAAGGCTCAGGTGATTTTTCTCTGAAGCGGAGATAGAAACACCAATCTTGCGCAGCTATGGTGAGGATTAAACGTGGCCCGCTCTCCACCGTGCTTAGCTCACCAGCCGGCACGGAGTGGTGTGTGGGGCACCTCGTCTCAATAATCACCTGGGGGGTGAATGAGCGATGACCCGTCAGGTGGTTTCCTCAAACTGTGACCGGGGCTGGGAAGGTTGCTTGCGTCTCCTGAGCTCACCTCCAGTTCACCCGCGGCCAGAAAAGGAAGATGTTGACTTGAACGTGTTTTGGGTGGTGCCCTTTTGAAGCACGGAGTGGGGGGGGCTTTGCTGCCCAGCTCTCTGATCTGTTAATAACCTGCTTCTTCCTCCTTAACGGAGAAGGTTTCATAATGAATTGGAACTGGCTCTGTGGTTCTCTTGAGTAAAAATGTCATTTTCGTGCACTTTGAAATAGGTATTAGGTCAGTTTGTGAAATGTCTAATAAACAGGCAGGTGTCTAAGTAACAAGGGTCCCGATCTTCCCGAGAGCATCTGTTGGCAAAGATGTTTGTGGTTCCTGGTAGGTTTGGTGCATCATCTCCTTCTCAGTCTTAAAAATAGGGTCCCCTGGCACCACTGAGGACCACTAAAGAGGAAATGTGTCTTAAAAAATAGACTTCCCTGTATAAAATAATAAATAGACCCTCCCTGACAACAAGGAGCCTGCCCTGGGAGCAGGAGAGACTTGGTTAAAAAAGCCACTCATAAAACTCAGGAAGATTCTATGTGTGGTTGTTGGTCAAAGCTGTGAGCTGACTCACTGTACCGCTGCATGGTCATCCCCGGTCTGAATCTCCTGGTTTAGGCAAACCATGCACATGGTACCCCAAAAGAAGACAGGGTTCGGTCACTCAGAGTTCTCCTTTATGATGTTCAGATACAAAATTTCCTGGCTCAAGACCCTATTCATACAACTCTGCTACTTGGCACTGAATTTTGAGAAAGACTCTAGAGAAATATGAAAAGATGGGGGTCAACACAGAGAGCCCACAGCTAGTCTGGGAAATGTGTTTCCAGTTGATTCCGTTGCAAGGGACTGTTGAAGACCTGCTTATCCTTGGGGATTTGAAGGAAAACCTTAATGTAGTTGCCTCAGGGCTCACAATATTAAAACACAATGTTAGCAAAAAAGTTTAAAGTCAGAATTAAGGACATGCTTTCTGACGGAAGCGCAGTGGTGTTCTTGCTGGCGGATTCCCCAAATCCTGGTCCCAAACACAAGTGGCAGAAGTCCCATCACTCCATTTATATTCCTGTGGGCTCTCACCAGGGCTGTCCAGTTGCAGAAGCCAAAGACATTATTAGCCTTTGATACACAACAACTCGATGTGACTCTGTTCAGTCCCAAGGATGTAATTCCTTTCTGAGCACCTTTAACTCACTTGACAGAGGAGCAGCCCCCGAGTAAACGTCATCCAGCCCTGGTTTGGATGATTTTATGAATACTATGAAAAATGCCATTCCAATGAGTATGCACAAAACCTCGTTTTTAAAAACAACTTTTTTTTTATTGCAGTTGATTTACAATGTGAGTTTCAGGTGTAGAGCAAAGAGATTCAGTTATACATATACACACATATATGTTGTTTCTTTTCAGATTCTTTCCCATTTTATATGTTATAACGTATAATAATATGTAAATCTCTTTTTATATTTTGGATTTGATTGGCATTTTTCTCCATGCCAATGTACTCTCTTCTGTTACTTTTACTGAGCTTAAGCAAATGGACAAATGCAAAATGGAGACAAGTGCTGATAGCAAGTGACGGACTCTAACGTAACATTGCTGCGTTCTTGCCCTACAGCTCCCGGGGAGAGAGAAGGTTGGAGGTTCCCCAGTTAGAGGCTCTTACTGGGGTTGGCAAGCTACTTGTTAGGAGTGAGAATTTCGTCTGAGCAGTTACATTTATTAATTAGCCCCTTAACATCAATAGCTCTAGTCACATCAGATTCTAGCAAAGTTCCGTTTTCTCAGTTGGGGGTTTTTATGGAGGTGAAGGGCCATAATAGAAGAGAGAAAGAATTAGAAAAGAAAGCTGAGGATGGGCCAGTGTACATCAGACTCCTGTTCTCAGGAAATCTTCCCATGAATTTGCTGCTTCTCCTTTTGTGTCTTAATGGTCAAACCTCTTGCCCAATCCCAGGAATGTTAAAGCTCTCTTATATTAATACCTACCTTAGATTAGGCTGCACATACACTACTATGACATGCATTTCATATAACACATAATTTTATTACATGCATATCATATTTTATTTTGCTTTATATGTAATTTTCTTACACATTTTATTTCATTCAATCCTCCCACCTTATAGGAAACATTATTCCCATTTTACAATTGAGTAAACTGAGGTTTAGTTAAAGGGACAGGCCCAGGTCCCCATCTGTAAGTGATGGAGCCAAGATGTGAATCCATGTACACCTGGCTTCACAGAATAGGTTCTTAAACCCTGCAAACCATGCCTTCCCGTGTGGCATATCTGTCTTCCTTAGAGAGTACTGGGTGGAAAGTGTATTTTATGGATTTTATGAAACTGACAAGAGAGTTGCCCAAGTACCCAGATGTTGGGAAAAACTAAAACTTCCAATCTAGCAATCAGTATCATTAAAATCTATGCACACTGATGAACTGACAAATGAGTGATTTTTATTAGGTCGTCCCATTTTTTGTTTTTCCTTTGGCATTTGTCACTTCTTGGTTCTGATATTATACTGTGTTTTAAGAATATCCTTTTCAGGGGGAGGGTACAGCTCAGAGGTAGAGTGTGTGCTTAGCATGCATAAGGTCCTGGGTTCTATTCTAGTACCTCCATTAAAAAAAAAAAACCTAATTACCACCCCCCTCCAAAGAATAATCCTTTCATGATGTTTTTACAGAGTAAGATTACATAAAAAAAGCAAAAGCCAGATTGGATAAAGATGACCAAGATTTTACTTTGCTGTTAACTATGGGTCCTTATTTGAAACTTAAAAAAAAATCTTCAGATGCTTGAAGAAATGGATGAAAAGAAATGTACATGTAATCTAAATCAGAAACCCTTCTCACTCCTTGCATCTTTTTTTTTTTTTGATGGATGGAGTGACTAAGAGTTGGTCCTATGCTGTGTCCTCTGTGGATAATTCCTACTTATACGTGGATGGATGATACAAAGTTCCTGTTCTATTAGGAAATTTTAATATATTTCCCTTCCTTTCCTGGTTACAGAGGCAGGGGCCCATCAACTCTTATGAAGATCCTCGAATGGCCTGTGGTTTCCAGTCCGCTTACCACCCGCCGAGGGCGTGTTACCCCTTCTGGGACGAGACGGCCACTCAAGAAGTGCCCACCGGTCTCGAACACTGTGGCTCAGGTAGGAACACACGCAGAGGGTGTGATGGAGGATGGGAGCGAAGGGCAGTGGAAGCTGGCTGAGGGCTGCCTCCTCTGGCTCGTGTGGGTATCAAATGCTATTGTTCTGGGATGGAAAGTCCTGGGCCTTCTCCACCCAATCATTCTGAGTGACTTTCTTCTCCAGTGACGGGCAGACCAAGCTCTAGGAAAGGGCCCAAGCGAGGTTGCTTTGGTCTTCATTTCGTAAAGAGTTCTGGTCCCTGTGCGTGTCCTGAGCCTTTTAACCATTTCAGCCCGGCTGTGCACAAAGGGCCTGGAAGTTGTGCAGTCATGAGGTGTGAACCAGATGGACAGAAGCCATGTGGCCTTCTTTCAGAACATAACATTCCTTTCTTCACCTTCTGTTTCCATCATCCTCTTCCTCTCTGCCCAGGCCCACCTGCTTCAGGCCTCTTTTTCCTTGTCCCCTTATCTCCTCAACTCCTCTTCCCAGGAGCTCCTCTCCTCTCAGGATTCCCTTCCCTCCTGACTTGCGGGTCCAGTGCTGCCCTCTGCTGAACGGCAGTCATTCTCCGGAAAGGAGCGTCCTCTCTCCGGAAGACCTCGGAACCTCAAAGTCCCGCCTCACCCCCATTCTGTTTCACCGGAGCCACTGTGTTTCTCACAGATTCCACTAGTCTTTGCGTACCTGCTCACCTGTCTCAGTTTATTTCTAATACAAAACGGAAAACCTGAGTTTAGAGACGCTGAAATGACTGATTCAGACATTAAGTTCAATTTTTCAAGAGACCAGGTTATGATAACATATCCAAGTGCCAATCAGCCAGTTGAAGTCTGTGTTTTCTCCCAGGATGGATTTTCAGCATAGGACATTTCATTATTCTTAACATACTGAAAACACGTACTTCGGAGGAAGTTCATGGGGGAAAGCCACTGGAAACTCACTTAAATGCAGGTTTTTGGTTCAGTATCTCTTTACCACACAAAGCTATACGGTAAACTAGTTTTATAAGAGTGCAGAAATGAAACAAACGTTTCCTTTCTCGCCCGTGCTGTACCTTTCCCCGGAAACACGCAGACAGACACGAGCCGGGCGCCGCAGCTCTTGGTGGGGCTGCTTTGCGGCTGTCCGTTCTGCTCCTGGGCCGACTCCCAAGTCCCGCATTGTCTTGACCCACAGCCCTTGGTCGTGGGGGTATTCCTGGGGCACCGCCCTGGGTTTCGATGTGACGACACTCGTCCTGTCATTTTCTGCTTGGTGTCTCAGTTCCCTCGAGCACACTCACCAATGTCTCGGCTATCTGCCCATTTCACCAGGTGGCAGGGAGGGTTTTGTACCTGTTCACAGGTTAGACTTAAGGACTTAAGATTGTAAGAGTTGAAAAGGTGATCTTTTAAAATTCTAAACCAAAGGAAAAAAAGAGTTTATTTGTAAAAGTAAAAGATCACAGTGGTTTTGCCTCCATCTGTATAATTCTTGAATCCTACTGATGCCACTGGGCTTTTAAGTCTTAGATCCCCCGAGTGTAACCGGGATTAGAGCCACCTTGCATTGACACGTTCAGCTCTGGAAGGCGGGCCTGCTTGCTACCAACTGACATCTTATTACATCTTATTGACATGTCTCAGTGCTGAGATCATCTCCATGCTCACCCAGAGCCTCAAGATCAGAATGTCTCATTCTCATGGCAAAAGGACATAGTCCAGCTCTTTCTTAGCTAAGAAGTCCATAAATTCCCAGGTGAAGATGATTTTTCATTGTCCTCCTTGTCAAGGGTCTCAAAGGTAAATGAGTTTTTACTTCAGGGCCAATGAGACAGAATCTGAAAAACTGCAGGATAAAACCATTTTAAAATGCAAAGACTTACAGTCGTGTGATAGAGTCTTCTTTCCACAGTCCCCTTGCTCAAAAAGAAGGGGGCTGAGGTCACCCAGGCTGGTGGCTTTTGGGTAGAAAGGAAAGCTAAGGACGCATGATAACCAGTCCTCAGATGACCTGGATTGTCACCAACTACGGCTCAGAAATGCTAGAAAACTTCCACTCAGGAGTGGTACTTTGGTGGCAGACATGATGTACATAGTCCTCTCCATCCCAGGCTTCTTCTGATGGAAATATTTGGCAAGAACCCTGAGCTTTCCCAGCCCTTCCTTTGCCTTTTGAGCTGTCCAGATGAAGGGGCTGCAATGATTATTTCTGGGCTGTGGTCCAGCCCTCCTTGGTGATGGGTATCCTTTGGCAGGAGATCTTGGGGTTACAGGGAAGGAAGATGAAGACATGAACCGATCAATGATTTCTCCAGCTGCTGTGCATTTCCTTGGAGATGTGTTGAGTAAGAAGAAAGAGAGAAAAAAAAAGACTCTCCATTTTTTTTTTCATCTTTTACTCTATTTATAACTTCAGTTTCCTCCCTGACCTCAGTCTCCCAGCCACTCCCCACCCCTGCTTCCATCTCACGTTCTTGCTCTCAGAAGGGATAAAGGCACTGTTTTCCAAGGATCACACATCTGTCAGTGACTGAAACACCCAGCAGGAGGGGCCATTGAGGACAGATTTGGTCCCTTCATCTGAATGTTGTTCCTATTCATGAAGAGGCAGAGGCTGGAAGGAGGAGGGGCTGGAGGGAGGGGGAAGAGAAAATCGAGGGGAGAGAAAATGTGAATGGGGCAGAGACTTACCAGGCGAGGGGGACAGAATACTCAGTCCTCAGGACCAACGAGAATCAATTGGATGGGATAGCTGATCAAAGGGGTTCTGAGGAAGAAAGAAGACATGTGTGGAAATGGACAGAAAATAAAAATGGGTCTTAGTAGAGAGATGGAGAACACTGGGAAGAGAGAATTAGAGATGAATGGAAGGGAAAAGAAGGGGAGGGGAAGATGATATGAAAGAGAAAAAGAGATGAATCTGAGGACATTAACTAACCAGCTAAAAAGGGAAGCCGCATTTGCATGCAATTGCCCGCGCAGCTGTACATCTCTCCGTGACAATCTTGCAGTCATCATTTTCTTTCATTTCTACCTCCTCCTCTGGTTCGCCCCCCCCCATCAGCCTGGAGCCATTAGCGAGAGCCAATGGGGATGGAGAGTGGCGTTCCACATGAATGAATGGGCCCTTTCTGTCTTAGTCTCTCCACAGCATCCCTCTGTAGGGGAGACTTGTGAATCAATGGAGGCCCTTACACAAGACAAGGCTAAAATGTCTGCTGCTGTTTATAGTCTGGCTGGAGTGGAGCCCACTGGCCCTGCCTCCCCTCTGTTCCCTTCTTCTATTCTGCCCCCAAACCTCAGCCCTTTCTCTCAATCATCATAGCAAGAAGCACTTAAAAAAAAAGTCGATCTCTTGCACCTTGTCTCTAAGAACTCACCAACATTTCACAGCCTTAACCATCATGACCAGTTCCCACCCACCGCTCCATTGGGGGGATGGAGTAGATGGCACACTATTTTTAGACAGAGGCAGTGAGCTTGGAGTGGTGCCCAGACCCCACTGGAGTCATGCAATGCCTGTTTTCCACTGGGAACTAGAAAAGTGACATCAGAGACCCAACTGAGCACGCAGGCCTCGTGACCGCCGTCTGTTCCATCAACTGAGAGTTGTCCACATTTGATGCTTGTCTCATATGATGATCACGAATGACAACTGTGTATATCAGAAAACATGACACATTGTTGGCACCCTTCCAGGGTGATTTACTATCAGTATTTTTCATTTCAGGGGTGGATTTGTCTTGATTCAGTCGAACTTACAGAGGTGGTGTTTTGACCAAAGTTCACTTTTGCAAAATAGCTGTTTAGAGCTGGAAAGCAGTCTGTGGCTGCAGAACGCAGTAAACCCAGCTCACCGACTTACTGTGGTCCTTGATTTGAGAAGCAAGACGATACTTTTCTTTCTGTCTTGTGCAATATAATTTGGAATGTTCTTGGTCATGGATCAGAGTAAAACCCTCACCTGCCCACATTCACAGCTTCCCCTTCGCTGCTCACCCTTTGGGAGAGCGGAGAGTCTAGTGGTGGAAAATCCAGACTCTGGCACCCTCAGCTCTTCCTAACTGTATTCCCTTAGGCAATTGACTTTATCTCTGGACTTCAGTTTCCTTAGCTAAACCAGTGTTTTCAAAGTATTTCAGAATCCCCTGGAGGGCTTGTTACAAGGCAGGTTGGGGGCATTCTAGCCCCAGGTTTTCTGATTCAGTGAGTCTAGAGTTAAGCTCAGTATTTGCATTTCTCACCAGGTTCTCAGGTGGTGCTGTTGCTGGCCTGAAGACCACACTTTGAGAACCACTAAGTTAATGTATGTAAAGCGTAGAGCAGTGCTGTAACTTAGCAAGGATAATGTGAACGTTGGTAACTCATGGTCCTGAAGTGCCTGAGAGTCCAAAAATGTCTGGGTATCGTTGAGTCAGAAAGCAACCCATTGATCGGTTGAACACCTTTGGTGGCCCCGGCCACGTACTGGAACCTAAGAAGACGCAAGATGCGTAGAGAAAGGGGAAGACTTGTTCCTTGTCTTCAGGCAGCTTTTATTCAGATGTGTATGAGAAAGTACCTTTACATGATAAGAAGAAATGGCTCCTAGATGAAATAGCACACTTCTTTATGAGCTAAAGGTTGCCCATGAAGTATGTGACTTTGGATCTCATGACAGGATTTAAAATTTCTAAACTAAATTTACTAGTGGTTGAATGAAAGAGTGTCCTGCCCACAGAAACTTGGGGAGTTCAGATGGGAGGCGTACAGAGGGTCCGAGTTCACGGTCTCTCCTGGGGCTTTCTCAGACTGCCAGGCGGCTGGGAGACATCAAACCTGGGCCAGTGTTTGGAAACTGCGATCTACAACCAGGTGGGAAATTTCAGCAGGAAAAACAGACGCCTCCAACTTGGCTTTTAAGTGCAGAGAACGTGGAGGGAATGCCAGAGAGACTTGTTACATGGAGATTCACCTTGCTCGGAGATGTTTATTCTAACAGCCCTGTTCTCTCAGCTGACCATTTCAGATGGCCCCTTTTTAAAAAGTGGTGGG